AACCAGTGATCCTTGTTCCATAAAGCTGTGTCTATATATTAATAGGCAGTGTACAATGAGGGAAATTTTGGAACTTGGTTTCAATACCAGGTCCTATATTTGATAATTCATTACAAAACTTAAAATAAACTGATGTTAAATATATTCTTTTTAATTTTCTACTCCTGAATAGACTACATTACAATAAAAACCATTCTACTCAGTGTACAGTAGGGGAAATTTTATGTCTTGTGTCTATATTAAGGTCTGTTTTGGGTACTTTATAACAATAATAAACATAAAATATATTTGTCACAATATACTTTCAATATATTATGAGAGAAACAAAAGTTAATCAAGTGTGAACAGTTAAATAATAGTGAACAGTCAGTATGAACAGTTTATTTACTGATCATTGATTTATTTATGTGTCAGTCATTCATTCAATTATATATATATATATATACCTACATAATATCCAAAATGAAGTCTGACAAAAGTAGAATATAGTTAAATGAGATCAATAACACCAATAAAGATAGTTAATTTTTACTGTAGTTTAACCTGTTTACCAATGTAGATGTTACTTTGAAGTTATACCGGTAATGAAAACTGAAATTTTGTGATTTTGTTAAAAATTGCCCATGTGACTAAAAGAAATCTGTCAGCTAGTAAGGAAAATATTTAGACCACTGAATCTTCATAAGGTGTGAATATATGTCACTAAATCTACAGTATATCTCACAAGGTATAGGTCACCTTTGATGTCCATATACCTTCACTTTCAATGTCCAGTTGATATTTAGACAGTTATTATAATAGCCTGGGGGCATTACATCTCAAATATCTCTTAATATACTGGTTGATATACTGAATGGTAGAATATATACATTGTTAATATTATACTACATCAATTTAGTGACCATGTGAACTATCCAAAATAGCTGTCTATTCTATGTGAACTCTCTGAAATGTAATATGATGTACTTGTTAAAACTCGGAATATATGCATAGTAAATATATCAGATAAACTTCGTGGCCACCTTAACTCTAAACAGCATTCTAAACTATGTGAACTTCTTGGGGAAACTCTCTTCAATAATTATATAATATTTTACCATCTTTTGAGTTTATTATTAATAAGAACAATGTGTGATATTGTATAGTGATAGGGAGTATTGAGACGAGTCTCAATGAAAGCACTGGCCTAGGTCACAGTTTTTGTAATAATCCATTGTATAGTAGTATTGTTAGTACAATGTATAACAAGTTAACAACTAGTGTTAAACATTGTTGTTAATTATAATACCTAGTTAGTAACTTGTTAATTACTTGTTAATTACTTGTTAATTACTTGTTAACAGTAAGGTGGACCATCGGAAACAAGTAGATTTTAATTTGACCTGTAAAACTGTAAGCTGAAGATTGTTATAATTTAACAGAGTTACAATGGTGTCTATTTTGTTATTAAAAAGGTAGATGTTGACATCCATTTCATTTCAAATGTTTTTTTTAACTAAAATACATTCTAGATAACACATTGTACTGATCATAGGATGAAGGTTCATATTGACATTGATGTCAGAAATTGGGCTTTGCCAACCATTCCCACCCTCCCTATCCCCACCCCCTTGAGTTTCAAATGTTTGTCATGGAATTGTTACATGCATGGTACTTTAAGCTCTCCATGACAATACTATGTTCCCAACTCAAACCTTCCTAGAAACAACACTGGAACATACATACTCTGATATTGGTATAAACTATATGTTTATTTTGTTAGGAAGATTTACTATAAACAAGGGCTGATAATAGTAAGGTTATAAACTATATTTAATCTGATTCAAACCCTGTATAAAGGAAAGTTTAATAGTTCATTATTCAAGTTTAACAAGTGAAGTTTTTAAAATAGTTTAATTCATTCAGTTATTATTTACTAGTTTTGTTTAGTTTACATGTAGTGTAGGTGATGTTGATATTATCTACACTCTAGTAAATACTAGTACAGTTTTTATATTCTAATGTAAACAGGGCTTGGTTCTTATTGAATTTTAATTGTTAAAAATATCATCCTCCTCTTATATTCCACAACTAGCACAATCCTAACTTATTGTTTAGAAAGCTTGAAATATTATTAGCTATGTGGACTCTCTGAAAGTGATGTTAAGTTGTCAAACCTAAATACCAAATAAACATAAATAGCTATGTGGACTCTCTGTAAGAAATACTGAGTTGAAAAACCTAAATACCAAATAAACATTATTAGTTATGTGGACTCTCTGAAAGAGATACTGAATTGATAAACCTAAATACCAAATAAACATTATTAGCTATGTGGACTCTCTGAAAGGATGTCAAGTTGACAAACCTAAATACCAAATAAACATTATTAGCTATGTGGACTCTCTGAAAGGATGTCAAGTTGACAAACCTAAATACCAAATAAACATTATTAGCTATGTTTTAGTGAAAGTGTATGTTATCTAAGTCTTGTTAACTATGTTTTAATGAAAGTATGATATACTAGGGGCTAGGTATGTTATCTAAGTCTTGTTAACTATGTTTTAATGAAAGTATGATATACTAGGGGCTAGGTATGTTATCTAAGTCTTGTTAACTATGTTTTAATGAAAGTATGATATACTAGGGGCTAGGTATGTTATCTAAGTCTTGTTAACTATGTTTTAATGAAAGTATGATATACTAGGGGCTAGGTATGTTATCTAAGTCTTGTTAACTATGTTTTAATGAAAGTATGATATACTAGGAGCTAGGTATGTTATCTAAGTCTTGTTAACTATGTTTTAATGAAAGTATGGTATACTAGGAGCTAGGTATGTTATCTAAGTCTTGTTAACTATGTTTTAATGAAAGTATGATATACTAGGGGCTAGGTATGTTATC